CGCGCTGCTTACCATAGCTACTTTCCGAATTCTATCCCAGGGCGCCCCAGCGCAAAGCAGCCGAGCCCGCGCGCGAGAACCAGCGGGGGATTCGATTCTCCCAGGGCGAGGGCAGCACAGGAGCGATACCCTTTCGTGGACATCAAATCACAACCCAATGTCCTGCTCAACACGCGGAAGCACCCGCACCTTCGACGTTCGGCACGGCGGGGAGGCCTCGGTGCGGATCGGCGCTGGCACACGGCGGCGGGGCGAGGCCGCTTACCCGGCCGCGTGGTCTGATCTGCAAAAGCACACAAGGCAGCGCAGACATGCCGCCCGCACCATGGCCCGCACATCCTGGCGTCCCGGTACGGGAAGCCAGTCCAGAGCAGCCGATCCGAGTCTGCCCGTCTGCCCCCTCCTCCTTCTCCCCCTCGCCCTCCCCCCCCTGTCCTCCTTCTCCTCCTTCCTCCTCCTCCTCCTCCCTCCTCTCTCCTCCTCCTCCTCTCCTTCCTCCTCCTCCTCCTCCCTCCTCCTCCTTCTCCTTCTCCTCCTCCTCCTGCTCCTCCTCCTCCTCCTCCTCCTCCTCCTCCTCCTCCTCCTCCTCCTCTCCCCTTGCCTCCTCCTCTTCCTCCTCCTCCTCCTCCTCCTCCCCTCCTCCTCCTCCTCATCCTCCTCCTCCCCCTCCTCCTCCTCCCACATCCGCGACCCCGACCCCACATCTTTTACACCTCCCTCCTCGTCTTCGCGTTCGCCCAGTTGTGGACACGGTTCCGACGAGTCCTCCCCGAGAGAATCCTGCGAGGCAAACAGCCCGCAAGCGCAGTGGCGCCGAGGTCGCCCCCCCTCCAACCCGAAAACTACATGGGCACGGCGCCAGTGCACTAATTTTGGAGTCCTAGAAATTGGCACCAACACCAACACAGGGGGTTGCCTCCACATTGGGAAGATGATCCTAGATTTCGGTGTTGGTGGCAATAGTTCGGTCACCTTGGAAGCCAGAATATTACCACCATCACCGAGATCGGGATCTTCTTCCCTCGATGGGAAGCACACCGCCGATAGTGGTGTTGGTGTCAACCTCTAGGCCTGCGACAATTTGCTTTTGGCAGAACCGAACGGCGCGGATCGGAACTCTCACTGGCCCGCCCGATATTTGAGGCCCCCCAAAACGACGAAAAGAATGCCCACGCTCGGAAAAAAATGATCAGACGAAAGAATCCTGGGCGCTAGCGCGCCCCAATGTTGCCCAGGACCAAAAAAACATTGTCCGACCAGGAAAAATATGTCCCCAAACAAATTAAACGGCCCCCAATACACGGTCCGGACCCGAAAAAAGAGTGGGCGTGCGCGCGAAAAAACATGGCCCAGGCTCGACAAACTATTGTCCAGGCCAAAAAAAACATTGTCCTGGCCCGTAAAACAACCGTGCCTGTCAAAAAAAGGCTGCCCAGGACCGAAGAAAATTTTGTCCACGCCCTGAGGCGGCCCCGCCTGGCATGAACACGGGCCTCATCACGTAAAAAAATGGGTGCGCCCAAAAATTGCCCATCCGCTTCGAAGTGGGCGCCGCCCGACAAAAAACCCGGCTCGCCCGACACTGCGTAAAGCTAGATTGGAAACAGCATCGGGCCTGCCCGACAAAGTAGGAGCCCGACCGCAAGGAGCCTTCCACAAGAAGCCCAGCCCCGAGACCCCAGGATGTCAGGTGGTTTCTGGCGTGGTAACGCCACGCCTCCCGCACAGCGAAACCAGGGAAGCTCAGGAAGCCCAGGGCACCCTGGAGGCAAGCGGGGTGGTTCTTGGCATGGGCCCCCACTGTGTGTTGCTGGGTGGTAGGGCCACGCTCCCCAGCCGCCCTTCTTGGCGCCCGCCCAGAAGGCCGCGGGCGGCCTCGGGGGGAGGGGGGGGCGGGGGCGGCGGATCGCGGCGGGGCGTGGGCCTGCGCGGCCTGGCAGGACGGGCGGCTCCCAGGGGGGCTCCCGAGGGGCGCCTGCGGGGCCATCGGCGGCCCCTCTGGGGGACCCCCGCGGGGTGGCCCGCGTGGGGGTCAGTTCGGCAGGGCCAGGCTCTGCGTCGGCCTCCTGCGCGTCTCAACGGCGCCATGGGGGCGGCGCTGTCGCGCGCGCGCGTGGGTCCTCCATCGGGAGCTCTCTTGGAGCTCTCTCGGGGACCTCCCGCCGGGTTCCGGCGCGCTCCTCGGGCGCGCCCTGGGGCTCTGCGGGGGGCCCTTCCGGGAATCGGATTTTGCGCGGCACCCCTTGACAGAAGAAAAAAAAAAAAAAACATAAACATAAACTTTGGGCGCTCCGCGCGGATTTCTTGGATTCGAGCCAGGGGCGGCGCCGGAGGTGCCGCCGGGGGGGGGCCCAGGCGCGGATCCAAGAAATCCGCGCGGAGCGCCAAAAGTTTATGTTTATGTGGTTTTTCTTCTTCTACTCGAACGAGCCCGTTGGATGCACCCATGATGGCCTGGGGGAGGTTTAGCAGGGCCTCCTGAGTGCTTCGCCTGCCCCTCCTCGTCCCTCCCCGTGCTCGCGCCTCCTGGGCGCGCCTTCGACTGCGACGGGCTGGCTTCGTTGCGCCGACGTGCTACCGCGCTCGGCTCGTGTGGACTCCAACTGATGCGCGCAGATACTCTGGCATACAGTAGGAGCTCGACCACAAGAAACCCTCCACAAGACACCCAACCCTGAGACCCCAGGACGCCCATTGATTTTGGGTGTGGGAACGTCACGCTTTCCATCGCAAAACCATCGAAACCCAAGAAACCCAGGGCACCCTGGAGGCCAGCAGGGTGTTTCTTGACATGGGCCTCCACTGTAGGTTTCTTCACCCACTTGGGTCGCTCGTTGTTTGCCCGAAAACCCTGGTGCGCTTGAGATGCGCTTGAGCCCTTTGAGTCGCCCGATATGCACGCTATGCCTGATCCAATACGCGACGCGTCAGGAATTTCCTACGAAGTCTGTAGCAAAAGCGCGACTTCATAATTCGCCTACCCCTGCTTGCCGGGGGTGAATGGTCGCATGAGACATCTGGCTGTCCCCCTCCCACTTTCCGCACCCAGGGTCCAAAATCGCGTTTGAGGGGAGGGGGGGGTCCCCGAGCTCATGCAAGCACCTCTGGGGCCTCTGGAGCCTGCATGCAAATCCACCCTCCGTGGCCGCCAAGATCCCAAGATGTTTCCTGAGATGGCTTCAGAAGAGCTCCAACACGCCAGAGAGGCCTTAAAAACACCTAACATAATCTCAAGACGGCCAAAGACGCTGAAAGAAGGCCCCAAGAGGATACCCAGAGGGCCTCGAGAGACAAAAAACATGGATTTGATGATTGCGTTCTCGGCTCTCTGGCGTCTGCACGCTCAAGACGGCCCCAGAGGCCCCCAGATTGGCCCAAGCCGACCCAGACGGCCCTCGAGACGGCATGGAGACGGCCACGGAGGGCCCAAAAGACGGTCCAAGAGGCCTCCAAGATGGCAAAAAGCCCCTGAATGTGGCCCCAAGGGAGAAGGAGGATGAGGAGGAGGAGGAGGAGGAGGAGGAGGAGAGGCCCAAGAGGGAGAACCCGCAGAGGCCCTGGGAGCCCTCCCCCAGAAGATGGCCCCCAAAAACCCCAAACTGGCTCCAAGAGGCCCCCAAGAAGCCACCATCGGGCCCCCAACCCCCGTGGAGCCTCCAAGGGGCCGCCACCTGGGCCGCCAGCAGGCCCCAAAAGGCGCCACCAAAGCTCCAGGAGGCTTCAAAAATACTCCAATGAGACTCCCCCCCCCGAGGCACCCGACCATCCCCTGAGACACCCCCCGGCTGCACGAGGGGGGCCTCGAACTGAACCGGGACAGCATTACAAACCGTCCCATTGTCCCCGACATCCTCCCACGTTTACTCCTTCCTCTCACTGTCGTCGCTACCTGCTTCATCAGTTTCCTCCCTCCCCCTCGTTCTCCGAATCCCAAACTGAGGAAAGGTCTTGTTATATCGACAATCCGCGACGTCACTAGGGGAGCATCTCGCTTCATGCGTGACGCACATATTTACGGGCTCCCCCCGAGAAGCTCTGGATCAGTGAGCCCCATGCGCGGGGTTACGACTGCGCGGCGGCCACTCCTCCCACGCACCAGGACACTTGAAGTCATCCCATGCGCGCGACGGCGTCCAAGAAACAGCCAGCAAGCACCCAGGAAACTCTGACGAGGCGTCAAGAAGCCCACCAAGACTCCCACCAGGCCTCACTTCGTCTGGGGGTCGGCGGAATGGGCTAAGCCTCTTGAATCAACCGAGAGGAAGTATCAGGCGGGAGCCGCTGTTGTTCCAAACTGGGGGCCAACAACACAGTCTGAGTCTCAAGACTTTCCCTGGTGAAGAATGTGCGAGCCCCAGGGGGCACTTCAATGGAAAAATCGAACGGGCACTGGTGAGAGGATGAAAAAGCACTTTTCTCTGACAACAAATTCTAAAAAACATCCCGAGACTGACCACTTCCCTAGGGTCGGCAAACTAGCTGCGGCTTTGGGTATCTGGCCCGCCCGGGTGGTTAGCTGGGTTTCGGAGCCAAAATCGGCCAGGAGGACAAGGATCGGGAGGCGGGTGAGGGTGAGGAAGAGGAGGAGGAGGAGAAGGAGGAGGAGGAGGAGGAGGAGGAGGAGGACACCGACGACGACAACGGAGGACGAGGAGGAGCGCGAGGACGAGGATGAGGAGGATTATATAGTTCGCTCCGCAAAGGGAGCCAGACAAGCTGAGAGAAGGAATCATGTCGATCCTAAATTGGAAGAGTCTTCTCCTGAGCTGTCACGAGAGGCCTGGACCAGAGGCATTCCACGCAATGGCTCTTAACACGTCGATGCTACTCGGGGAAGATGCCAATCAGGGACGAGGATGGTGAGGACAAAGATAGAGAGAAGAAGAAGGAAGTGGAGGACGAGGAGTAGGAGGAGGAGAAGGACAACGACAAGGACAATGAAGGAGGACGAGGAGAACAATAGCAGCAGCAAGAATCACAGGCAGCTGGCTGGCCGAAGCCTTGGGTGCCTCCCAAGAGCAGCGCGATAGCGTTGCCGACGAAGACGTCCACCGCAGAGTTGACGACGCAGGGAGACGCCTACGCGACAGGGCAGCGACGCAAACAAAATAGGGCGCGTCAGGTCCGTGAATCGCGCCACATCGCTGATGCGTCGGCGATGCCGCGCGAACTGCGCGGAACCTGTAGGGCTTCCTCCTCGCCATCCGTCCAAAGAAGCTTGCCTAACCACTCCTTGCTCCCTGCTCCCTGCAGCGAAAAGAAAAAAAATACAAGGATCGGGTGCGACGAAGAAGGGGAGTAGCGCATCATGGCCCGGGGCATGTTCACAGATCAGGGGGGGCCATGGGATGCGTTGATAGAATATGGGTCGTAAATCTTGCAGATACCATGGCACCAGTAATTACATCCAGCTCCCCGCCGAACTAATCGTCAAACCCCTCTTCGCCGCGCCCGATCCCTGCAGGGAATGAATGAAAAGAAACGTTACGGGGCCCAGCTCTGGGGGGGAAACATCGACCTAGAATCGGCGTTACATCGCAGATAGATCGGTGATGGGCACCCGAAAGCGCATCCCCGCACGCTCCTGGGCGGGGTGGGCTACCGGCGATCAGTGGCCGATGGGGGACCATGTATCAATGTATCGCCCCCTGAGCCTATCCCCCCCGAACGTTGCCCCTGTGGGGGGGAACTGCCAGGAGGCTGGGCATGTCCTCCTACAGTCGGATCTTGGAGAAAAAATGAAAGACTATCAAAAATTAGCCAAAAAGAATAAAAAGAGCACGGAAAATCGTCACCTGAATGTTGATTTACTGCATGCAAGCAAGCAAGCAAGCAAGCAAGCAAGCAAGTAAGCAAGCAAGCAAGCAAGCAAAGGCCATGCATCCAGAAAAGACGCGTTGGCATACTCGCGGTTGCGCCATTGGCAGCCGAGTACAATCATTGAGACACAAGTGCGTCGACAAAAAAAAGGCTATGGGAACAAGAAGAGAAGAAGAAGGGAGGAGACGAAATGACATCAAAACCAGCCGGCTGCTCAGAGGTATTGCGTCATCGTGTACACTTCAGATGCCTATTGTTGCCGGGGTCGGCCGCATCTTCCTCCTGTAGAGCCTACAGCAGGGGCTCGACCACAAGAAACATTCCACAAGAAACCCAACCCTGATACCCCAGGACGCCCATTGATTTTCGGTGTGGGAACCGTCACGCTTTCCACAGGAGAACCATCGAAACCCAAGAAACCCAGGGCACCCTGGAGGCAAGCAGGGTGTTTCTTGGCATGGGTCTCCTCTGTAGTCCTCCTGTAGAGGACATGCCCGAATTGAGCCTATCCCCCCCGAACGTTGCCCCCGAGGGGAGGGAACTGCCAGGCGGCCCCGCACAACTCCGTCGCCGCAGCGCCAGCGCCCCGTGCGGGGCAGCGCGGAGCCAGAGAGGGGCACGGTCACAGGCGAGCAGACATACGAGAAGCGGGCAGGCGGAGGGAGGAGGGGAGAGAAAGGAGTGGGAGGAGAAGGAGAAGGAGGAAGAGGAGGAGGAGCAGAAGGAGGAGATAGAGGAGGAAGAGGAGGAGGAGGAGGAGGAGGAGGAGGAGATAAGGAGGAGGAGGAGGACCAGGAGGAGGAGGAGGGAGGAGGAGGAGGAGGAGGAGGAGGAGGAGGAGGAGGAGGAGGAGGAGGAGGAGGAGGGGGACCAGGAGGAGGAGGAGGGAAGGAGGAGGAGGAGGAGGAGGAGGAGGAGGGAGGAGGAGGAGGAGGAGGAGGAGGAGAGGAGGAGGGGGAGGAGGAGGAGGAGGAGGAGAGGAGAGGGAGAGGAGGAGGAGGAGGAGGAGGAGGAGGAGGAGGAGGAGGAGGAGGAGGAGGAGGAGGAGGAGGAGGGAGGAGGAGGAGGAGGAGGAGGAGGAGGAGGAGGAGGAGGAGGAGGAGGAGGAGGAGGAGGAGGAGGAGGAGGAGGAGGAGGAGGAGGAGGGGAGGAGGAGGAGGAGGAGGAGGAGGAGGAGGAGGAGGAGGAGGAGGAGGAGGAGGAGGAGGAGGAGGAGGAGGAGGAGGGGAGGAGGAGGAGGAGGAGGAGGAGGAGGAGGAGGAGGAGGAGGAGGAGGAGGAGGAAGAGGAGAAGGAGGAGGATCTGGACTACTCTACTCTACCCTACTCTATCCGGATGTAGCCTAACATACTTTGCGCCTACTCTACTCCACTCTACTCCTACTCTACTCTACTCTACTCTACTCTATTCTCCTCTACTCAGAACTACTCGACAATACTCTAATTATGCTCTACTCTACCGATATACACTTATCTACTCGACTGCACTCTACTCTACTGCGATCTACACCTTCCCTCCTCTACTCTACTCTAGTCTACTCTACGCCTCTTCCCCGAAAAAGATCTCTTGCACGAGCCGCGATTCGACCAAGGGTCAAGATCGCGAATGGAGCCCGAAACATTGAAAGCCTCAATCGCTGTTTCATGAAACGCGCACAGATTCCGACGGAGGACCACGTTCAGCACATGAGCTCCGAAAGGCGTCCCGAGCGGGAGTCCAACTGAGCGTAGTAGCTACTGCGCCTCACAACTCGCCAACGCGAGGGTGGGTGTCTTTGGTCTAAAAGGGATTGCCGAAACAACTCCTGGCCTTGGCATCGAAATCTGATGCGGGAAAACTTGAAGATGCCAAGATACCGTACGCCGCTCGGTGCAACTCAATGGATATAGTTCTCAGCGTTTGCAGCAGCAGAGAACTGAGGCATTCATGTGGCGAAGATTCTGCTCTGACATTTAGCTCCATCACTTTGGCCTTCCTAGACTTCACGCACGTGTTCGCAGCATTGAAGTCATCGCAGACAATATCGGTCATCATATCGGGGCCCATCACGTGCACCTTCACATCAGAAAAATGAGCGGCGTAGCGACTATGTAGAGAAGTCGTGAACGAGTAGTTGTACGCGTAGTACTCCATCTGTGAAACGCTTAGCCAATCTGCTAAGGCCAATTCAACCTGCCCGTCAGCCCTGAGCTGCCGATACCAACTTGCGATCCAATCGTAAAATGATCGGTAAACCATCACGATGGTGGTACTGATGTGGCTTCAGTCAAACGCGAGCTGTGCGACGCTGGTGTCATTGATCTGGTCGAAACGCCCACTAGACATCACTACCTTTTTTGAAGTTCCTTTGAGCTGGTCAAGAAAGTGCAGCCAATCTGGACAAATTGTTTCTGTGTAGTCCCTGCACATGGACTGGGACGACAGATAACACTCTGCAACATTCGCGATTTGAGTCATTCATACATGCATAATGTGTCCGAACTGCGCAGGGTCTTCCCCCGTCCAGCCGTCACTTGTTAGAGAGGTCTGCCAACCTTTAAGTTGTTTTTGAATTGTTGTCGAAGCAGTTTTGTGGGGGCCCACATGAAGCCACAGTCTTGCACCCCTTTCCGTTGAGTTAGAACTTGATTCACCCATTGCCCATATATCAATCCGCACATAGCCCAAAAACACTAACGCGGCGGATAACTTCATCTGACACGGGCCCTTGAGCCAAAATGGCTACGGGCTCTCTTGGGGCCGTCTTGGGGCCCTCTGAAGCCGCTTTGGGGCCCTCTTGGCCCGTCTTGGGGCCCTTGGGCCGCGTCACTCGAACAGATACGAGGAAACGGGCCATGGGAGCCGCCCGGGAGCCGCTTCACTCGACAAAAAAACGAGGCGCGAGAGCAACTAGACTTTTGTTCCCCCGCTAGCCCCCTCCCCCAGACCCCCTCCCCATAAGGGCTTCGCCCCCTGCGAAACGTCTCTTGCTCGTACATCGCTCTTTCCGTCATCCGCCGCCTCCTGCTGACTTATCACAGGGGTGCATGGCGTGATAGACGTCTGCTGGCTCTAGGTTCTTGGGCTTCGGCCCAGCGCGCCAGCCGCTGGGAGAACTCGTCCAAAGCCGGCTGGCAAGGATTTATCTGCTCCGGATGGCTCTGATATTGCTCAAGATGGCTTCCAAGATGCCTCCAAGACGGGCAGGGGCAAGATGGCCCCAGGATGGTTTCCAAGACGGTCCCAAGATGCATCCAAGATCGCCAAGATGGTCCAAGAGAGCCCAAGACGGCCCGAGGAGCGCCCAAGAGGCCCCGAAGACAGCCCAAAATACCTCTGTGACATTTGCTCAAACACGGCCTTCCGACGGCCCAGGAGGCCCCCAAGATTGTCTCGAGATCGCCCATAGAAACCATCAAGATGGCCCCATGTCGGCCCAAGGACGCCACAAGACGGCTCAGAGAGGCTCCCAAGACGGCTTCTGACGGCGTCAGACGGGCTAGGAACGCAACAAAACTGCCACAGATGCCTACAAGAAGCCCCAAAAGGCCCCCAAGAGGCCCAACGAGGCCCCCAAGGAGGCCCCCAAGAGGCCTCCAAGAGGCCCCCAGGAAGCTCCCAGGAGGCCCCAAGAATGACCCGAACAGCTTCCAAGCGGGCTGCTCATCTTTCCCCTCCTCCTCCTCCTCCTCCTCCTCCTCCTCCTCCTCCTCCTCCTCCTCCTCCTCCTCCTCCTCCTCCTCCTCCTCCTCTTCCTCCTCCTCCTCCTCCTGTATCCCCCTTCTCCTCATCCCCCCCCTCCTCCCCCACGTGTTCCTCGAAGGGCTTCCGCAGCGGCTGGGGAACGAATGGCGCACTAGCGTGGCCAAACGTTGCCCAAACGTTTGGCCACATAGGCGTACCCTGAAAGGCAGCAGGCGGCGGTGTCTCGCCGTGGGCGTCTCCGATCCGCCGCCCCTTGTATTACTTGCAAGAAAATGAATTAGCGTGCTGGGCAACAACCGCTTATACCCTGACAAGACGTTCCCCATGGCTTCTGGCACACCCCGGCGGCAACACTGAATGACCCCGAAGAAGCACAGAGTCCTCTTCTATGGCCTCCAAGGCGGCCAAAATAGCCCAAGATGAGCTACAAGACGGTCCCAAGGTGCCTCCAATACGTCCGAGATGCCCCTAAGAGGGTCCAGGATGGCCCAAAGGCGCATCCAAGACGGCCCACGAAGCTCTCAGGACGGCCCGAGATGGCCTCGAGACGGCTCAAGCGGCTTCTCGGGCGCTCCGCAGTGATTTTATGAGGATATCCCGGAGGCGCTCAGGAGGCCAACAATCAGCGATGCCCCGACGGTGTTCCAAAGCTTCGGAGCATCGCCCCTTCGGGCTTCCACGAGCGAGGACGGCCTCAGATGCTTCAAAGATAGCGCCAGGGCGACCCAAGAAGCACCAAGCTGGGCCCCGAGACGGTCCAAGAGCGCCCCAATAGGGCCCAAGAGGCTCCCAATACAGCCCTACACAAGACGACTCCAGAGACCTCTAAGACTGCCCGAAAGCGCCATCTCATTGGGGCGCATCCTTGACTTCCGCCTCCTTCCGTCGGTCTTCCTTTTTTCACAGCACTGCACCCAAGAGCCTTCAGAGGGACGCTTCGCGAGGGGCCTAGGGTAAAATCCACCGAAGGTCGGCGCGCGATATGGCTATTCATATCGAGAGGTCGGGCCCGAACGGGAGCGCTGATGGCAGGGCGAGAGCTAGGCCACGACCCCGCACCCACGCGCCCCCGCCTCATGCGGAGGCGGCACTGTGAGAGCGGCGCCGGTTCCCCCTCTGGGGTAAGGCGGCCCCTCTCCTCACATTCAAAGCACAGACAGCTGAACCAAACGCGAGAGGAGAGATGAGGGAGAGCGGCGGCAGCCAGCAGCAGCGGCGCCTCAGGGCCTCAGCGAACACCCATGAGCACAGCGACGAACGGGTTCTGCCTGCCGAACCCCTCCTCATCGATGTAGCTCCGTTCTGGCCCAGAAGAAACGATACTGCCGACGCCTGAGAGCATGCACGAGGCATTGTCAAAACCGTCGAACATCACACCATGGGAACGACGCTGGTCATCAAAGCTGGTAAGATGTGCGTTGGCGCTTGAATATTTCCCCGATCGATGGTTGGCGTTGCGTCCGAGGCAAAACTGTGGCGACGTCGAACCTGGACGAACCAGGATGTTGTGCCTCTACTTGCGCTTGGGCTTCTTGGCACCGCCCTCCTCGCCCGTCTTGGCACCGCCCTTGAACGCCAGCTGCTCTAACTGCTTGGCCGCCTTCGAGCGGGGTCCGTGATCGTGGCCGAGCATGATGTTCACCGCAGTCAAGCCGTTGTTGAGCCTAAGCACCGTCAGAGCGTTCTTGAGACCGACGTGGTGGTTGCAAGCTCAGATCCAGCGCACTTGGTTCTCGCCGCCCTCGGCGAGGGCCACCCCGAAGCACCGCGTCGACTTGACCATCGTATCTTTGTCCTGAACTAGCGGGCCCCAGCACAGCAGCACGTTCAGTCCTTCGAGCGCCTCTGTCGCGCACGGGCCCTGGCCGATCGCCCGCCTCGCAATCTCTAAGTCGTTCTGAACCGCGTCCGCGAGGCGGAAGATGATCATGCGGAACAGCGCGTCTGGCTTCTTGCCTTCGGGGTGACCGCGAAAGTTGTCGCCCTCGCGCGCCTTCTCGCCCTCGTCCACATAGTGATGGCAGCAGTGCTCCAGAGCCATCTCGATCTTCGCGCCCCCCTTGAGCGCCAGCGTGAAGTTGTCGCCTCGGGCAGCCGACTGGCGGGCGGCTTCGTGCTGGAAGAGCATGCGGCACATGAGGTTCTGCAGCTCGCCGTTGGGGGCCCCGTCGTTCGAGCCTGCGGCCTCGCTCGGCGGCGCTACCAGTGCCTCGGCGCCGCGCCTGGGCTTCGCCACCTCGCTGATCGGGCCGAGCATCGCGCGAGTGCTCGGGCGCTGCCGCAGAGGGGGGCGTAGAAGACGGAGTAGCAAGTCCTGGTGGTTCAGGCCCCGCTGGCCTAGTAGCTTGAGCCGACGACGACGGTGGGGCACGGCATCGCTGCAGGCGGAAGTGGCGGACCAGGGTATCCTCTCTGATGAACTTGGTCTGGCAGCGTGGGCACCGAAGGGCTCTCAACTGGTCATCGGTGAGGTCCGTGGGGTTCGCGAACTTCTGGCGAACCCGAAACATATGGTTGTCGAGCCCCTTCGGGCCCTGACACACACGGGCACACAATGGACACTGCAGGAGCTGTTCCGGAGGGGGAACTTCGCCAGCGGCTATCTTCGCTTCCTCGTCCGTCTGATTACTTCGCACCCGTCGGAGTTGGGCTCGAGGAACCTGACACAGCCAGCGGGGCCAGGGCCTGGTGGGAGTCGGGTCAGGATCTCCGAGTTCATGGTCATCACGGGCCTGCTGTTGGGCCTCAGCTGTGTACGTCTTCCAGAGCTTCCGAAGGTCCTCCTGGAGTACGCCTAGAATGGAGTTGATTTCCTTGTGGCGGGGGCCCTCGAAGTTAAACCTGCCAAAGACCACTGCGCGAACCAGCTTAGTGGGGTCGTACTTGGGGTCCTGGGAGTGCCCCTGCGGGTCCTGCTGGGGCGCCCCCCCTGGGCCCCCCCGGGCCTGCATCTGCTTCAAGTCGGGGAAAGCGGGACGCACCACACCCTGCCACCACGCAAGACGACGTTCCAGCAACGTAGACGCCGCAGTCGGGACCCTGGTTAGGCGCCGTATCTCCGCATTACTCGTGTGATGGACATGGGCAGGAGAGCGAGCGAGGTAGCGAAGCTTGCGAGTCTGCCACTACTCTAATCGGTTGAGATCGTGCTTACTCAGGACTGCCACCTCCAAGCCGCACAGGGCCGTTGACCGAGAGAGGGATCACCACAAGCGAACTCGAAGGCGCACACTGAAGTGCCCCTTGAAAGCTCTACGCGCAGGACGAGCATGTGCTGCATTACCTCCCTGGATCCTATGGGTAACCTCCTCCACCATTGTGCCATCGTCACGCTGCTTCGCTCCTAAGTACTTCACACTCGGAGTGGCGCGGACTGAGGTCTCGTGCATGTGATGTTCGTTTGCTTCGCTCGGATCGTGGCTTTGCGGCGTTTGCTGTGCTTACCCGTCGCGACGATCAGCGTTTCGGCTTTGGCGTCGTTAACCTTCATCTTGCCTTCCGTGATTTCAGCCTTCAGGAACGCGAGGATGCGAGAGACCGTTTCGAAGTTTTCGACGATCGTGAGGGCGATCAGGTCGTAAACGAATTTGATGTGGGACACGACCATCCTCTCCTCCTCCTCCTCACCAAGCAAGGCGTCCTGATGGCGTATCTTTTTTCAGCTCTGGGTCAAAAATCACAGAAACCTCTGGGAACTCGGTCTTTGCCTGGCTCTGCTCTAGCTTCGAAGTGAGAAGGTCATAGACGGCTATGAACAGCAGCGGGCCCTCCACACTGCCCCGCCGAACTCCGCGTGGGATCAAGAGCTTCTTGATGGGTCGGTTGGTGCGGATGTCACGAGCAATGTAGCACGTGCCATCGTGTAGCTCTTCCACGGTCAGGCGCACCTCGCGGCTCAGGGCGAGGGCCTCGAGCGCAGTCCAGATCTCGTCGCGATCGATCAGGTCGAAGGCCTTCTCGGAGTCAGGACCGCTACGAGCATGCCTAGGGTTGCAGAGCCCAGCTTGGACGTGCGGCCATGGAGTCGGAATCGTCGGATAACTTCGGCGACGACCGCCAGCGCGCCCCGGGTAGAGCGGCCCGCCAGCGCGCCGAACTGCGCGGTCGAGAGCTTCGAGGCCAGGTTGCGGAGGGAGGGCATGACGGTGACGTTCATGAAGACTTTGCCAATGTGGTTGATGAGGTTGATGGTGCGGTAGTGGTCGCGGGCGTTCTTGCCGTCACCTTTCGGCTTGCGGAGGGAGGCAGTCTCGCCGTCTTTGAAGCGCTGGGCAGAGTGGCCCAAGGCTTGGCTAGCCTGAAAAAATTCGCGAAGGACTGGGGCCGTTTCTGCCGTAGCAAGCTTCCACAGTTCGATGACGGAGCCGTCGCGGGGCTCGGTCGAGTCGGGCGCCATCTTGAGGACGGGGGCGCTCTTGTAGTTAGGCATTTTGGCGATGGCCTTAGCAAAGTCATCAATCGTGTAGGAGCCGATGCGTGTGTCGTCCCTCGGGAGGATCCCAGGGGGGCCTCCAGGTTTGTCCATGTTGATCAGGATGCCGTCAAAGATGTCGCAGAGGGCCTTGGTGCGGACGCGAGTCTCCTCCTCGGCGTCCATGCATGCCGTCGCCGTAGTGGGGCTGGTGACCGTGATGACGGGCGCCGTAGGCTTCGGAGCTAGGCGGCGAACGACGCCGTGGAGCTTGCGCAGTTTCATGTTGGCATCCGCTGCCTCGGCCTCCACCGCTGTCTCAGCGAAACGTTGTCGGCGTTCCGAGCGTACGGCCTTGGCGGCCGCCTTGGCCGCCTCGTCGTACTGGGTCTGGAGATCGACGAAGCGCGTGCAAGCGGGGTCGGCGATCGTAGCCATTCGTCTCTGGATGGTGTGCTTGGTATCGATCAGGGCCAGGGTGGTGTCCGTCAGCTTCGGGCGCTTGGTCTGCGTGGGTGCCGGACGTAGCGCGGGGCGGCAGCCTCAATGATGGCGTGTTCCAGGGCGTTGAAGTACTCCGAGGGGGTGGCGAAACGCAACTCCTCGCCACACGTCGCCCACCAAGGGTTAGCGAGGCCGCTGTCCGTCATCATCTGGGCCAGGTTTGTGCGCATCTGGGGGACGCGCTGCGGGGCAGGCGCCTCGGGGCCCTTGAGCGCGCGGAGGTCGGCCACTATGGCATCGCGGTTCCACCGCAGGGGCTTCGCCTCAGGCTGGCGACGCGCGCGGAGCCCAGCATACACGTAAGTTTCGACAGGTCGGTGGTCGCGGTAGCCGCCAAGGCTAACTGGTAGCTGTCGCAGAGGGGCTGCGCGCTTGCCGTAGGAGCCTGCTAAGCGGGTGCAGATGTAGTCAATAGTGGTCCATCCCTTGCCCACCGCGTGCTTCCACGTGCCGTTCTGGCGAGAGCTCTTGCCGAACGTGTTCAGGGCCGTCATGTGGTAGTCCTGGAGGAGTTCCAATAGGCGCGAGCAGTTGGTGCTGGTGGCTGCATAGCGGCGCCCCTGTCCAGCAAAGCCCACATTCGGCAGGTATGGGGGCATGGCAGCATTGGCGTCCAGGTTGAAAGTCAGGGCCAGGCGCTGCGGGATCTGACGGGGGGCCGCTCGGCACGTGTCCCAGAACTGGGTTTGCAGGGCCGCGTGGGCCGCTGCACGCTCGTGGCGATCGGCGTCTACGCGGCCGTGGCTGACCTCGTTCAGCGGAGCGTAGCCATTCAGGATATATATATATATATATATACATACCTATATATATATAATATATATATATATATATATATATATATATATATTATATATATATATATATGTCACGTTATCGGGGGCCTCGACAAAGGAGTCGAATACCCTGTAGCCGTCCACTCACCCACTCGTGAGTGGCTCGGAGCTCGCTCGAAGAGAAAAGCTTCAGGTTGAAATCTTATGCGGTCTCATGACCGCTTGACACTGCTGCGAAAAAGACCCGGGGGGGAAACTTCAAACATTTATAATATTTTATATAATACATATATAAAAACAAAAAATCCCACCGAAAAAATAATTTTAGGGAAACGGGAGGCTGAAAAAAATATGAAACCATCATTTTACAAAATGGAGGTCACAAATCTTCGGTGCCCGCGACCATCGTTTCTGATCGCGTTAACTGTGGGGGAGTGGGTATGTGGTATATTCCTTTCCTGCCGCGCGAGAATAGCGCGGCTCCTGGAACGGGGCTCGAATGGATAACAAAACAAAAGGAGGGGGCGAGTGAATGATAAGGCAAGGAGCGATGGAAGGCAGCAAGGAAGCATGAGGCAAGAAAAGGATGAAGACGAAAGAAACTAGAGGGAAGGGCAGATCGAAGTAGGGCAACCAATGGCTGAACCAAACGGGCGTTTCGGGCGGCGGGCCCCGTGGATCGCGCGGGCAACCGTGCCTCAACCAAGGCGCTGACGACAGCTACTCTAGCTGATAAGGATGCGCGAAAGCTACGCAGAGGCTTTGGAACGCCACGCTGATTGACGCTCTCCGAAAACGGAGGCCTTACTGGCCCAAAGCGAAACTTAAGGATGCAAAGGTGTCCCCTGGGGAAACTAATCATCCGAACTATGCGCGCTGACGGCATAACAACGTCAGAGAACCCAAACATAACCACATCAAGTCATCAACGCTCTCATCAGCCCAGCGGGAACAACATGAATGACCCATAGACGGAGCAGCATCGATCAAGACACCGCGCCTGGTGCCCCAAACCCCAAAAGTGAAGACTGAACGAGCATTGCTTGCGCAGGATCGGCGGAGGAGGCGCCAGCCTCGCGATGGAGAGCCTCCTCCCGCCATTTCTTTTTCATCCAGGCGACGCACGCGCGCGGCAGCTGCCGACTGCCACGCTCCACGACAAAGAACGACCCTGCCTCCGAGATTATCTCGCCACCGCGAGCCCCGCGGATTCGCCGACCCCCCTCGGGGTCACTGGCGGCGCGCCTGAGAGGCCCTGGCGCCCAGGACAACACGAGCGATTTCGGCGCACCCCTGGCGCGGGCCCCAGGGCCAGGCGGATGGGGCCGAAGGCGTGAGAAAGCAACTGCGCCCCTTCGGCCCTGAGAGGCCCTGGGGCCCCAGAGCCCCCGACCGCCCGAGCGATTTCAACGCGCCCCTCGCGCAGATTGCAAGGTTAGGCGGACGGGGCCGAAAACCTGGGAAGATAAGTGAACCCATTGGGCCCTGAGAGGCCCTGGGATCTCATAGCCCCCGTCAGCCCGAGATGGGCCCATCGCAAGGTGGGGTCAAATTTTCGGGATGCTTCAGCGCGCGCCTTCCAGGCTTCGCGTCGGTTTCCGCGCATCGCCACTCTACTCGCCATGGGGTTTCCCCTGCTGCCGCTGCCCCGCCCCCCCTCCCCTTCCCTCTCGTTCTCCTTCATCTCCTCTTCCTCCTCCTCCTCCGCCTCATCCTCCTCGTCATCATCGTCGCCCCCCTCTTTTCTTCCTCCTCCACCCCTCCTCCTTCTCGCCTTCCCTTCCCGCGGCCAAACGGGCGAACCGCAGACGTCGACGCTGATGAACTCGAGTCGGCGGGAGGGGCGAAAGCCCAGGGATCCTGGCAAAAACTGCCTCGACAGCCTAAGCCCCAATCGTCGCCGCGCGGGAGGTAACATCCCCGCGCCAGCCGCGTTCGGCATCGGAACGTGCGTCAGCATCGCCTCGACCCTATTCTACCTTCTACTTTACTCCTATGATACTCTACTCTGGCCTGCTCTACTCTACCCTACTCTGCTCGTCGTCCTCGTCTTCAGCATAGTTGTCGGCGTCGTTGTAGTCGTCGTCGTCATCGTCTGTGTCGTCGGCGTCGTCGGCGGCGGCGTCGGCGTCGGCGTCGGCATCGGCGTCGGCGTCGGCGTGCGTCGTGCGTCGTGCGTCGTGCGTCGTGCGTCGTGCATAGTGCGCCGTGCGCCGTGCGCCGTGCGCCGTGCGCCTTGCGCCGTGCGCCGTGCGCCGTCGTCGTCGTCGTCGTCGTCGTAGTCGTAGTCGTCGTCGTCGTCGTCGTAGTCGTCGTCGTCGTCGGCGGTGGCGGCGTCGGCGTCGTCGTCGTCGTTGCCAGGGGGGAGGGGGTGTTCTGAACCCCCCGAATAATTGTCTGTTGGGGGGGGGGGTCGAAACCCCTCTGCCAGCAGCGGCAGAAAGCGCTCTTTCAGACTGCGCAAGAGGCTCCCAATACGCCCCAACAGGGCTCCAAAAAGGCCGCTACGAGTCCCCTATGATGTAAAAATCGACCTCAACCCTTCGGACCACCAGCTCTCTTGACACTTGGCACACATCGCACACATCCTGAATGATCACTGCATGCATGCGCTACACGTGTCTCGTCTACTCCTCCCCCTCCCCCCCCCTCCACCTCTTACTCATCCCTCCTCCCTGTTCTCCCCCCATCTTCTATTCGGCCGCGTCACCAGAGAGGTCTCGCGTGGAACCGAGCAGCATCGTCTCCGATAGACCACGCACTGTGCATTCATATTCGACAATATGGGCGAGAAGAAGGACGCTGGACCCCCGCATGTTGCCCCAAGGGGGGACACATGAGGAGGAACAAGAGGAGGAGGAGGACACAATGAGGGCTAGCAAAGTGAGTACGGGTCTGTAACGGAGCCTCTCATGAGCGGGGGGGCTTTATATCCAGGCCTTCGCGTAAGCCAGGCGACCATCGGTCTTCGAGATGTCGATTACGATGGGGTGAACGCTCCTTCAAAGGAGAGGAGAGGGTGTGCGATGGGACGGCAAGCTCAAACAAGGCAGAACTAGAGAGAATGAACGGAAGAACGTATCCGGATGATGACCAGTTGGCAGGGGCGAAAGAAGCAGAGGAAAGGATGAATGGGGGGAGGGAAGGAGAGACAATCACGATTCAACACCGACTCAGACGAGCGGCCGATCGGATGAGATCAGGTCATGTCGCTACACCACAGCTCAAGCTTGGCATGATCGGAACACCAATAAAGGGGCCCAGGGACACAAAAATTAATCATACCAGAGTAGCAAAAAAAAAAACATCCGATTTTTTCAGGGCTATAGGACTATGAGGCTAGAAGGGCTATAGGACTACAGGGCTATAAAACTATGGGGCTATAGGGCTATAAAGCTATAGAGATATAGGGCTATTGGGCTATGGGGCTATACGGCTATACGGCTGTAGGGCTATAGGACTATAGGGCTGTAGGGCTGTAGGGCTATAGGGCTATAGGGCTATAGGGCTATGGGGTTTTGGGCAATATGGGGTATATGGCTATTAGGGCTATAGGGATATAGGGCCGTAAGGCTATAAGGCTATAGGGCTATAGGGCTATAGGGCTATAGGGCAGCTGGGCACGCGGGCACCTGGACACCCGGGCACCCGGGCACCCGGGCCGGGCACCCGGGCACACCCGGGCACCCGGGCACCCGGGCGCCCGGGCACCCGGGCACCTGGGCCGGCCACCGAAATCGGCGGCACACCTCACCTAACCATATGGTTCTGGTAGGACCCCTACAGAGGCAAGCTCTGATTGGGGAATACACACAAATCCCAGGATTCCCTCTATTTTCAATATAGTTTCTGGGTTTGCGTCTTTCCGCCCACTTCCCATATTTTCCCCTATTTCCCTGTGAATCGCCGATTAATTGTGTCTGTGTGTTCTCCCTTCCTGAACCAATTTTACCATGAACAGAAAGGGTCCTGAAGGAAGCGGGTCCCCGACCCTGGGATCTCTGACCAATTCTTCATCCTGAATCGTGCTCTGACTTTCCTCAGGAGGGAACAACACACACACACACACACAGACACAATGAATCGTCGATCCCCAGGAAAGTATGGGAAAATATGGGAAGTGGGAGGGGAAGACTAAAACTCAGAAAAAAATAAAAAATATGGAGAATCCTGTAATTTGTGTATATATTTATTTGTGTGTCCCTGTGCCCCTTCAATTCCAGGAGTTCGTGGAGACCCGAGGGAGGCCAAAAGAGGTGAAATATGATCGACCCACGAACCCAGAAAGGGACTGAGTACTGCGAGACATGAAACCATTTCTAAGGACCTCAACTGCAGATGCAATTGGGCGATGCCAAGGGGGCCTGCCAGGGGGACGCGCCGCGGGACGTCCCAAAGGGCGCGCCAGGGGACGTGCAATGGGGACGCACCGCGGGACGTGCCAAGGGGACGCGCTACGGAGCATGCCAGTGGACGTGCCACGGGACGTGCCAGGGGACGCGCTGCGCGACGTCAGGGGGACTCGCCACGGGACGCGCCACAGAACGTGCCAGGCGACGCGCCAGGGGACGTGCCAGGAAACGCATCAGGGAACGTGTCACGGACGTCCCTGACCCAGGGCCAAAATCCCTCGTCAAATCCCTCGTCAATTACGCTGCGTCCGCTCTCCCTGGGCCACGATCCCTTGTAAACTACGCTACATTCGCGCTCCCAGGGCCGTGCTCCCTCGTGAATTACGCAGTGTCCGCGCCCCCAGGGGCAGGATTCCAAATGAATTATATTGGGTCCGCCCCCCCAGGTCCATGATCCCCCGTAAATTACACTGCGTCCGCGCTCCCAGGGCAACGATCCCTCATAAACTACGCTGCGTCCGCCCCCCCAAGGCCGCGCTCCCTCGTGAATTACGCAGTGTCCGCGCTCCCAGGGCCACGATCCCTCGTAAATAACGCTGGGTTCGCGCCTCCAGGGCCAGGATCCCTTGTCAACTACGCTGCGTCCGTGCTCCCAGGGCCCGCCTCAAGTCATGGCCGGGGGGGAGTAACCATCTAAAAGAGAACCCTGGGCCGAAGCCCTTCCCGGGAAAAACTTTGGGACACTTTCCTTCAGGACGACAAGAATGAGACGCACATTCAAAGCGATGTCGTGTTGGCCCCTTGCCGCTGTGACAGCCGACGGCGCGCGCTGCGGCCACTCTAGAACCCGATTGTCCCTCGACCACCAGAAGCTCATAGGCATCCTGGGAGCCTACTACCAACCTCCGCCTCTATCTCTCCCTCTCTCTCCCTCCTCGAATCTCCACTGGAGCACCGCTACGGCATTGCCGCAAGGATCGCCAACTGGCTTCCCAATCGCTGCGAGCGCGACGTTCGGCGACATCCTGGCGTGCACTCGACACGTGCGATATCTTGAAGAAACAAAACGATGCACATTCACAGGTCCTTGCTGAGCCCAGGATCAGTGAAAATGCTCTTCTGGCCTAGCACGGGAAGCCTATGCACCGATCCTGGACCCAGGATGAGCCTGGCAAGGATCGATGCACGTGCAGACGCACTGTCGCCCGACTATTGATACACGAAAAGACAGACGATGCAAAGACGAACACCATCTACCGCGAGTTCCTGGGCCACGGTTCCGACTCGTCCTAAGAGAACTCCGCTCTCAGAAACCCTCAGAGGCTGATCGCACCCAGACATGCCATGTCCTTCCTCTCTCAATAAGGGGTCACCAGAAATCGAAGGATTGCAAAAAAACCTGGGTTTTTTGAAATCCATCGAAGGATTGCAAAAAAAAACCTGGGGGGGTTTTGCAATCCTGGGTCTTGTTGCAATCCTTTGCCCATGGCTGTTTTTTTTCGCCCGAGGCGCCATTTGAAACTGCCCCGAGGCCGGGCGAGGGCCCCCCATGGATGCCGAAAAAACGGCGAGGAGACTCCCGGTAGTGATGCTCTGTTCTGCGACGCGAACATAGCCAGCACTTCTTCGTCACCGTCATCTGATGGGCCTGTTTTCCACCACCACCACCACCACCACCACAAGTTGGAGGGGGAGGGGGTTATCCTTCTCCGCCTCCTCCTCCTCCTCCTACTCCTCCTTCTCCTCTTCGTCCTCCTCCTCCTCCTCCTCGTCCTCCTCCTCCTTCCCCCCATCCAACTTATGGTGGTGGTGGTGGTGGAAAACAGGCCCATGATCATCGTCACCACCATCTCAGTCGTGTCGTCGCCAGTGGCACCATCGCCGCCGGCATCATCGAAATCACCATCGTCAACACTGCTGACCACCGATCACAGCCAATCATAATCCGCCACCGTGCGTCTGGGCACGGAGTGGGTGTGTCTTCAGGTCCTTTGCCTAATCCTGCCTAATCCCTGGGGCCTCAGTCCTCAGTCCTGAGGAGTCTGTACGGGGCCCACACCCCAAATTCTAAAATCTACTGGGGCTTGTCGCGTGCCCTCTGGGCTCCCCCGCGCTTCCACATGAATTTTGTTGGCTCCACGAGGGCCCGTAGAGGGCCCCGAGTCGCCGAAAGATCGCTCCAAGACGCTCAAGATGGCCCCAAGATGGCCCAAGAGGCCTCCAAGACGCCCCAAGAGGACCCCAAGGGCCAGAAGTCTATGATTTTCAATGCGTGTTTGGAGGGAGTTGACGTTCTCGCCTTTCCAGTTTTCCGACGCTCTAAGACAGGCTAAGAGGCCCCCAAGACCATCCCAAAACGGCCCAAGAGGCCTCCAACAGGGCCTCAATACGGCCTAAGAGCGCCCGAAGAAGGCCCAAGAGGCGTCCAGGACGGCCCAAGAGGGCCCCAAGACGACCCCAAAAGAAGCCCAATACAGGGAATACGAACAGGAAGAGGTTTCCGCCCCAAGAGGCCCCTAGGAGGCCCCAAGAGGCGCCCAGGAGGCCCCAAGAGGCCCCCAAGAGGCCCCCATGAGGCCCCCAAGAGGCCCAAAGAGGCCCCCGAGAGGCCCCCGACAGGCCCAAAAGAGGCCCCAGGAGGCCCCACAACGGCCCCCAAAAGCATCCAAACTGCCTCCAAGAGGCACCCGAGAGGCCTCCCACGAGATCCCAACGAACTTCGCATAGGCTTCATACCCCCACAACCCAGGCACGGTCCGTTCATTGCACCGACTTTGCAGACGTGCTGCACCGGATTTTTGCGCGGACTTCCGTCAATGCAAAACCCGAGAAGGCGAGCGAAAAACGACGTGACTTTCACGTTGGATGGTTTGTAGTCTTCATTCCTGACAAAACAAAACCCACACGAAATCCAATCCGAAATCCGGAACCCTATTCTCCAGAACAATCCGAGCCCATTCCACTGTTTTTCGAACGAAGTCCGCTCGGCCCTCGGAGGGGACCCGGGCCTGGAGCGCCCCGGTCCGCCCACGCCGGCGCTCGCCGCCGAGGCGCGGCGCCTGCCGCGCTGCAGGCGTGCGTGGCTGCGCGGCAGGTGGCCCTGAGTGCAGTGCAGCAGCGTGGCTGCATCCTGGGTGTACTCTGGTCTTCCGCCGCCTCCTCCGCCTCCTCCTCCTCCTCCTCCCCCTCCTCCTCCTCCTCCTCCTCATCCTCTTCCTCCTCCTCCTCCTCCTCCTCCTCCTCCTCCTCCTCCTCCTCATCCTCCTCCTCCTCCTCCTCTTCCTCCTCCACATCATCCTAGGTGTACACTGGTCCTCCTCCTCCTCCTCTTCCAGGGTCATCGTGGCGCTCCACACCAATGGCACTGGGCAGGATCATACTGGCGATGCTCTGCGCGTCCGCGAGGGGAGGGGCCTCCCAGGAAACGTTTTGTCCTTCTCGTTTCGTCCGAATTACATGCCGTTCGCTTCAATTCGTCCGCTCCGAGAGGCGGACGAAACGAGAGAGCACGAAACGAAAGAGGACGGAGCGAAGGAGAACGAAACGAGAGTGGACGAAATGAGTCCACCGCTATGCGAGACTGGCACGTCGTGGTGTCGGGCGGGGGGTACGCGCGGGTCCTGTACATGTTAGAGGGAAAACTCGAACGGACTGTTTGCGCTCTCCGCCCAATGATGACCCCCGAGATCGCCAGCTGGCCCCCGAGGGGCCCCGCAGAAGCCCCAGGAGACCCCAAAATGGCCAAAGTCAAGCACCAGGAAGCCCCCAAGAGGCCCCCAGAGGCCCCAAGACACCGCAAAATCGCCTCCGAGGGGCTTCCAAGAGGCCTCCCAAGAGATTCCCACAGGCATCCAAGAGGCCTCTGACCTATATCAGCAGCACGGTGGCGGGATGGGCCGAATGCAACTTGATCCGCCGCCCCCTGTCGATTCATCGCAAGGGTGCCTGGCGTGCTGGATCCTCACGGCTTTGGTTTTGGTTCTTTTTCCAAAAGAACTCCCCCTGGGGTTTCGGCCAGTCCCGCCGGCCACCAGGAAAGGTGCTCAATCCGGAAAAAAATCCTCCAAGATGGTGCCAAGATGGCCACGTTGGCCCAAGATGGCCTCCAAGATGGTCCAAGACGGCCTCCAAGTCCGCACAAGATGGTCCAAGACGGCCTCAAAGACGGCCCAAGAGAGTCCAAGACGGCCCAAGACGGCCCAAGAGGCCCCCCAGAGGCCTCCCAGACGGCCCCAGAGGCCTCCAAGAGGTCCTCCAGAAGGGCCCGAAGAGGCCAAAATCATTGATTTTCCTTAGGTTTTTGAAGGATTTTGGAATTTGCTGCTTCTCTGCATTCCGACGGCTCAAGACGGCCCAAGAGGCCCCCAAGATCGCCCAAGAGGCCCCCAAGAGGGCCCCATGACGGCCCAAGTGGCCTCCAAGATGGCCCCAAGACGGCCCAAGAGGCCTCCAACACGCCCAAGATGGCCTCCAAGACGCCCAAGATGGCCTCCAAGACAGCCCCGAAGCGCCCCAAGAGGGCCCCCCGTTGGCACAGAAAGACTCCCAAGACGGCTCCCGACGGCGTCAGACGTGCCAGGAACCCACCAAGATGGCCGAAGTTGACTCGAAGCTGGCCCAAAAGGGCCCAAGAGGCCCCCAAGAGGGCCTCCAGGAAGGCCAGAAGAGGCCAAAAACATTGATTTTCCTTATGTTTTTGACGGATTCTGACATTTCCTTCTTTTCGGCCTTCCGACGGCCCGAGACGGCCCAAGAGCCCCCAAAGATCGCCGAAAGATCGCCGAAGAGGCCTTCAAGACGGCCAAGATGACCTTCAAGACGCCCACGTGTTCCCCGAAGGCTTTCCAAACCGATTCGGGGAACACATGGTCCGATGGCTTGGCACGTCTGGCCTCAACGTTCCGCCACATAGGCGCTTCCACAAAGGCAGGGGGCGGCGGTGATTCGCCGTAGGCGTCTTCGATCCACCGCCCCCTGTTCATTCATCACTGGGGTGCCTGGCGTCCTAGATCCTACCAATTTTGATTTTGGCTCTTTTCCAACAGAACTGCCCCTGGGCTTCGGCACAGCACGCCGGCCACGCGGAAGAGACCGGAAGGCGACCAATCGACCTCAAAGTCCGCAGAAAATCCTCCAAGACGGCTCAAGGCGGCCTCCAAGAGCGCAAGATGGCTTCCAAGTTCGCCCAAGAAGGTCCAAGATGGCCTCCAAGATGGACCCAAGAGGGTCCAAGATACCCCCAAGTCCGCCCCCCCAAAAAAAAACAGGACAGGCCAAGACGGCCCAAGAGGCCCGCAAGAGGCCTCCAAGGGGTCCTCCAGGAATTCCCCGAAAACGCAAAAATCATTGATTTTCCTTGGGTTTTGCTTGTTTTCGGTCTTCCGACGGCCCGAGACAGCCTAAGAGCCCCCAAAGATCGCTCCAAGATCGCCCAAGAGGCCTCCAAGATGGTCGCAGAACGGCCCAGGAGGCCCCCAAGACGGCCCCAGGGAGCCCCAAGACGGCCCAAGAGGCCTCCAAGACGCCCAAGATGACCTACAAGACTGCCCTGGAGTGCGCCAAGAGGGCCCCAAGACGGCTTCTGACGGCGTCAGACGGGCCAGGAGCCCACCAAGACGGCCCAAGATGGCTCCAAGATGGCCCAAGACGGCCAAAGAGGCCCCCAAGAGGTCTCCAAGACGGCCCAAGAGGCCTCCAAGAGGTCCTTCAGGAAGGCCCGAAAAGGCCAACATCATTTAAAGTCCATGGTGTTTCAAGGATTCAGGCATTTGCTTCTTCTCGGCCTTCCAAAGGCCCGAGACGACCCAAGAGGCTCCAAAGATCGCCCCAAGACCGCCCAAGAGGCCTCCAAGATGGCCCCAGAACGGCCCAAGAGGGCCCCAAGACGACCCCAGGAGGGCCCCAGGTAGGCCCGAGAGGCCTCCAACGCCCAAGATGGCCTTCAAGACGGCCCTGGAGCACGCCAAGCGGGACCCAAGTCGGCCCAGAGAAGCCCGCAAGACGGCTTCCGACGGCGTCAGACGGGCCAGGAATGCCCCAAGACAGCCAAAGAGGCCTCCGAGAAGTCCCCCAAGGCCGCCAAGAGGCCCAAGGAGGCCCCCAAGATGAGTTCAATAGGCCCCCAGAAAGCTCCCAAGAGGCCCCAAGAGTGCCCCCAGAGGCTCCCAAAATGCCCTGATCTGCCCCGCCATCCTCCCCCAAGTGTTCCCCGAAGGGTTTCCACCACGGCTGGGGGAACACATGGTCCGATAGCCGTGCAGAGCTCTTGTCACAACGCTCGGCCACATCGGCGATTCCAAAAGGCAGGGGGAGGCGGTGATCCGCCGCCCCTTTATCATAGGGGTGCCTGGCGTGCTGAGTTTCTAATGGCTTGTTGGTTCTTTAGAAGGCTCCCCCATGGGGCTTCGGCCTATTCCACCGACCACCCAAAGGCCCTGGAAAATGTGCACTCCAATGGTCTTCCGCTCCAAGATGGCCCCAAAATGGCCTCCAAAACGGCCCAGATGGCCTCCCAGACGGCCAAGATGGCCCCAAGAGAGCCTAAGATAATAACTCCGAGATTGCCTCCAAGATGGACCCTAGATGCCTGCGTACACGACTGCCCAGATGGTCCAAGAGAGCCCAAGACGGGCAAAGAAGCGCCCAAGAGGCCCCCAAGACGGCCAAGAGGTCTCCGAGGTCCTCCAGGAAGGCTCAAAGAAGGGCCAAAGTCATTGATTATTCTTAAGTATTTGAATGATGTTGGCTGTCGAATCAAAATGGCCTCCCCACGGTCCAAGACGGCCCAAGAGGCCCCCATGACGGCCCCAAGCGGGCCCCTAGAAGCCCCGAGAGACCTCCAAGACGCCCAAGATGACCTCCAAGACGGCTCTTCAGCGCTCCGAGAGAGCCCCAGATGGCAGTAAAACTGAGCGCCGTCGGTAACTGCCAACCCTGGCTACCGTTGGGAAACTCGTAGAGCTTCTGCTCGAGCACAAACGCCTCTGAGTTCGCCTCAAGCAAGAAAAGTATAGCTGTCCTAGATCCCGAAATTTAACCAAAACATTGTTCGAAACAGCAGAGCACTTGCAGAGTGTGCTAACGGTTTGGTGTTTAAACGGTTCGACTAGCAGACCGGAGTATGGTCTCTCGAGACTGCACAGCGAAGTTATTTCTCGCGCCTGCATATTCAACAGACGAGAAATACGTAGCTGCCTTCGACACAACAGAGTGGCTGCATAATTGTATTGGTGCTTCGAGGGTAGTTCACGTACGAGGGCGAGATCATGTTGATCGAGATTGCAAAGCCAGTCCCTGCTGCCCCGAAGACGCCCCAAGTGGGCTCCAAGAGGATTCCCCAGAGGCCAACAATCTTGATGTCCCCCTCCCCCCTCTTCCCTCCCCCTCCTCCATCCTCCCTCCTCCCTCCTCCCTCATCCCTCCCTCCTCCCTCCTCCCTCCTCCCTCCTCCCTGTTCCATACGTGGTTCAATGAGTTTAGCGTTCTCGCCTTGTCGGGCTTCCGACAATCCAAGGGCGGGCCCGCAAGCAACCAAGATCGCCCCAAGACGGCCCAGGGAGGCCCCAGGAGGTCCCAAGGTTCACCGTAGAGCCTCCCCACAGGCTCCCAGGTGGTCCCCAAGAGCGCAAGAGGGCCTCAAGAACCCTCCTCTTCTTCCTCCTCCGCGTTCTCCCCCCTCGCCTTCTCGTATTCTCCCCAGTGTTCTCCCCAGGGGGTCCACAACGGCTGGGGATGCGCACAACCCAATAGTTTGACCTGCCTTCGGTCCAACAGTTGACCACATGGGCGTTTCCCAAGGGCAGGGGGCGGCGGTGATTCGCAGTGGGCGTCTTCGATATTGTACATAATGAATTCGGCCCGCAGGAGTGGGAGAAACCGAGGGAGGAGGGGGCGACGAGGAGGAGGCGGAAAATGGGAAGTCTTAGTCCCTCATATGTGGGCGCGGCAGCGTGGGAACACCGAGCGTGACGAGGAGGGCAAGCGAAGCTGGAAGCGGCTCCTCACCAAGACGAAACACACGAAGGCAGCGACGGTTGTGGTGATGTCCTTCGCCCGATAAGCTATGTGCAAAGAAGAGGGCAAATACTGGCAGAACTGTCGGGTGCATGGCGAGGTGAAGTATTCTTTGCACGTTCCGCTGCGTTTCATCGTTGTTCTCTTCCTGCGTATCCTCCTCGTCCTCCTCCTCCTCCTCCTGATCCTCTTCCTCGTCCTCGTCCGCATCCTCCTCATCCTCGTCCTTCCCGTCGTTGTCCTGCTCCTCCTCCCCCATCCTCCGACTCCTCGTCCTAGCTCCCCTTCTCCCTCACATCTCCTCGTCCTGTTCCTGGTCCTCCCTTTCCGCTTCCGTCTCCTCATATTCCACCCTCTCCTGCTGATCTTCCTACTCCTCCATCTGCTGCCCACCCCTCCAAATCCTGCTCCACTTCCCTGTTCTCCTCATCCTGAACCCGTTGTTGATGCGGCTTCTCCTCCTGTCCTTATCCAAGCAACCGCCCCAATGCTGTCCGACTGCTGCGCGTCCCTGGCTGTCAGCAACAAACAGATTAAACAAGCGAAGAGCGTAAGAGTCTCCTTCGCGGCCACCTGATGGAAATGATCGCACGACCACGTGCGATTGCAGTTGAAAGCGAGCACGCGTGTGACAAATAGCCCCCGATCAGGTGTCCGTCCATGTATGGCTGAACGATGCGTTTAGTCTATTATCCCGCTGGCATGTGAGAAGTGTATACGTTTTGAACATGCAATGCGTCTGCGAATTGCCCTGAACAGCTCACGCACACGTTGCTGGAAAACCTTATGGCGCTACGCAAGTTAACACGTAGCTAGCGAGACAGGTGTATGAGGTGAGGCACGACAAGGTGCATTGCAGTATACAACAAGGGAAAAGTGGCAACTAAAATGCGCTCTGGAGGGTGCTGTGCCCTGCGGACGACGACGACGACGACGACGACGACGACGACGACGACGACGACGACGTCGGAGAGCAGGAAGGTGCAAGAAAAGCAGCAGCCAGAATGGAAGGGGAGGCAGAGGAGCAGAAGGACGCGGAGGAGGTTGCGAATAGTGATGGGGACGCGGAAAATGATGACGAGCAGGAGGGAGCGGAGGAGTAGGAGAGGCAGGCAGAGGACAAGTGAATCAGAAAGAGGATGCGGAGAATAAGGAGGCATGCTGCAAGTACGCAGAAACCGATAAGGATCCACCGAACTCTCGCCCCACCTGAACGACTCCGCCCCAGAGGCCATTTCCCCTCTTCCAGTCTTCGCCTTCTTCGTCCCACCTTTTCTTGTCCAAATCCTCCTTCTCAATCCTCGTCCTCGCTCGTCCTCCTCCTACTCCCTCTCCTCCTCTTCCTCCTCCTCCTCCTCCCACCTCCTCTCTCCTCCTGCCTCGTCCTCGTCGCCGTCGTCCTGCTCGTCGTTGTCGTCGTCGTCGTCGTCCTGCTCGTCGTCGTTGTTGTCGTCGTCGTCCTGCTCGTCGTCGTCCTCGTCCTGCTCTTCGTCGTATGGCTCCTCCTCATCATCATCCTCCTGCTCTTCGTCGTATGGTTCCTCCTCCTCCTTTTTAACGTCAGACCAACATTAGATGTGATACATTCCTCCTCATCCTCCTCCTCCTCCTCCTCCTCCCCTACTGCTCATCCTGGTCCTCCTCCTCATCCTCCTCCTCCTTCTTCTCCTCTTCCTCCTCCTCCTCCTCATCCTTCTCCTCTTCCTCCTCCTCCTCCTCCTATTCCTCCTCCTGACCCCCTTCTCTCCTCCTCCTCCCTCTGCTTCTCACTCTGCCCAGTCCTCGTCGTCCCCGTCACCCCTGCTGCCGACGTCTGGACCTCTAAGATTACGGCCGTGTCGACGGGGCCTCCAACAGGCCCAAGGGAGATCAAGTGCGTCGGAATCCTGGATGACGAAATCGTCGCCGGCGTCAACCGACACAAATCCACTCAAAATCGGTCCCAAAACCTCCTCCTCCCACCTCCTCACTCCCCACTCCTCTCCTTCCCTACCTACGACTCCTCCTCTCCTCCAGCTTCGCAGCGTCAGGACTACTACGTACGCCTCCTCCTCCTCCTCCTCCTCCTCCTCCTCCTCCTCCTCCTTACTCCTCCTCTCCATCCTCCTCCTCTTCCTCCTCATCCTCCTCCTCCTTCTCACCATACCTCCTCTCCTCATCTCCTCCTCCTCCTCCTGCTCCTCCCCTCCTCCTCCTCCTCCTCCGCCTCATCCTCACCCTCCTCCTCCTCTCCTCCTCCTCATCAATCATCATCATTCATCATCATATCTCATCTCATCATCATCATCATCCATCATCATCATCATCATCATCATCAATCATCATTCATCATCTTCATCATCATCATCATCATCAGATCATCTCATAATCATCATCATCATCATCATCATCATCACCACCACCATCATCACCATCATCATTCATAATCTCATCATCATCACATCATCATCATCATCATCATCTCATCATCATCATCATCATCATCATCATCATCATCATCATCATCATCATCATCATCATCATCATCATCACATCATAATCATCACATCATCATCATCATCCATCGTCATCGTCATCGTTCATCATCATCATCTCATCATCCATCTCATCATCATCCTCATCATCATCATCATCATCATTCTTCATCATCATCAACATCATCATCATCATCAGTATCATCACCATCATCATCATCTCATCATCCTCATCCTCATCCTCATCCTCATCCTCATCATATCATGTATCATCAGCACCTCATCATCATCATCATCACCAGCAGCATCCAGGCAGCCATCCACCCGCCACCGCAAGCTGTCAGCATCATTGAATAATCATCATCAGCTCACCAATCATCATCATCATCATAATTCAGGCATCAGCATCAGCATCCGCATTCAGCATCAGCATCATCATCATCATCATCCTAATCATCCGAATCATCATCATCATCATCATCATCATCATCATCATCATCATCATCATCATCATCATCAACCTCATCCTCATCCTCATCCTCATCATCCTCATCCTCATCATCATCATCATCATCATCATCATCATCATCATCATCATCATCATCATCATCATCATCATCATCCGCCTCCTCCTCCTCGTCCTCCCCCTCCTCCGCCTCCTCCTCCTCGCTCCTGCAGGCAATGCTGACCAGACGTTCACCCCAGATCGATTTCTGATGGCATTCGGGCCCAGGACAGGCCCGAGGAGGCCGACATGCAAAAGAACCCTGACGCGATTTTTGCTCGTGATCGTCGCCAGCGACTCTTCCGTGAAAACCGGCCCCTGGATCTGTCCTGAGGGCGCGTTGTGGCTAACTTCGAAGGGGAATCCAGCCGTGGTCACGAGGAGCCTCCTGGGGACACAGACAGGCCTTCAAATGACCCTCCATAACATCGACCTCGGATCGTTCGATCGTGGTCGTCCCTCTCCTCAACTCAACTTGAAAGTCGACTTCCGGGATTGTGCAGGGCTGCGCTCCGACTCCTTATTTGGAACTCTGAAGCGGATCTGACCATGACGACGAGGGCGCCCCTGGAGGACAAGAAAATACTAAAATTAGCCTGGCGAAGGACCCAACCATATGCAGTTGTGAATGCCGCAATTGTGCTGGGTGGTGGCGGACGCATGCGGGCGGTGCCACTGGGACCTTCGGTGGAGCTCCCTATGGGGCCACGAAACGCTGTACTGGGTGGGTGAGACGCGGTCAGCAAGGGCTGTGCTGCGTGGTGGCGGAAGCGTGCGAGCGGTGCCACTGGGACCTTCGGTGGAGCTCCCTATGGGGCCACGAAACGCTGTACTGGGTGGGTGAAACGCAGGAGCTCCCTATAAGGCTACGAAGCGCTGTTCTGGGTGGGTGAAGCGCAGGGAACAAGGGCTGTGCTGGGTGGTGGCGGACGCAAGCGGGCAGTGCCACTGCGACCTTTGGTGGAGCCCCCTATGGGGCCACGAAACGTGCGAGGGGTGTGCCAGAATGGGGTGTGGAACCGCATGCCAGCGCAGCCACTGGGGCCTTCGGTGGAGCTCCCTATGGAGCCACGAAACGTGTGAGGGGTGTGCCGAAATGGGGGGTGGAACCGCATGCGAGCGCAGCCACTGCGGCGTTCGGTGGAGCTCCCTATGGGGCCACGAGACGTGTGAAGGGCGTGCCGAAAAAGGGGTGGAACCGCATGCGAGCGCAGCCACTGGGGCCTTCGGTGGAGCTCTCTATGGGGCCACGAACCGTGTGAGGGGTGTGCCGAAATGGGGGGGGGAACCACATGCGAGCGCAGCCACTGGGCGTTCGGTGGAGCTCCCCATGGAGCCACCCACGAAGCGTGTGAGGGGTGTGCCGAAAGGGGGGGAACCGCATGCGAGGCGCCGCACTGGGGCCTGCGGTGGAGCAGCCCTGGGGCCTTCGGTGGAGCTCCCTATGGGGCCACGAAGCGTGTGAGGGGTGTGCCAGAATGGGGGGTGGAACCGCATGCGGGCGCAGCCACTGGGGCCTTCGGTGGAGCTCCCTATGGGGCCACGAAACGTGTGAGGGGTGTGCCAGAATGGGGGGTGGAACCGCATGCGGGCGCAGCCACTGGGGCCTTCGGTGGAGCTCCCTATGGGGCCACGAAACGTGTGAGGGGTGTGCCAGAACGGGGGGTGGAACCGCATGCGGGCGCAGCCACTGGGGCCTTCGGTGGAGCTCCCTATGGGGCCACGAAACGTGTGAGGGGTGTGCCAGAATGGGGGGTGGAACCGCATGCGGGCGCAGCCACTGGGGCCTTCGGTGGAGCTCCCTATGGGGCCACGAAACGTGTGAGGGGTGTGCCGAAATGGGTGGTGGGGAGGCATGCGGACGCAGCCACTGGGGCCTTCGGTGGAGCTCCCTATGGGGCCACGAAACGTGTGAGGGGTGTGCCGAAATGGGGGGGGGAACCGCATGCGGGCGCAGCCACTGGGGCCTTCGGTGGAGCTCCCTATGGGGCCACGAAACGGGTGAGGGGTGTGCCAGAATGGGGGGTGGAACCGCATGCGGGCGCAGCCACTGGGGCCTTCGGTGGAGCTCCCTATGGGGCCACGAAACGTGTGAGGGGTGTGCCAGAACGGGGGGTGGAAACCGCATGCGGGCGCAGCCACTGGGGCCTTCGGTGGAGCTCCCTATGGGGCCACGAAACGTGTGAGGGGTGTGCCAGAATGGGGGGTGGAACCGCATGCGGGCGCAGCCACTGGGGCCTTCGGTGGAGCTCCCTATGGGGCCACGAAACGTGTGAGGGGTGTGCCAGAATGGGGGGTGGAACCGCATGCGGGCGCAGCCACTGGGGCCTTCGGTGGAGCTCCCTATGGGGCCACGAAACGTGTGAGGGGTGTGCCAGAATGGGGGGTGGAACCGCATGCGGGCGCAGCCACTGGGGCCTTCGGTGGAGCTCCCTATGGGGCCACGAAACGTGTGAGGGGTGTGGTGGAGCTCCCTATGGGGCCACGAAACGTGTGAGGGGTGTGCCAGAATGGGGGGTGGAACCGCATGCGGGCGCAGCCACTGGGGCCTTCGGTGGAGCTCCCTATGGGGCCACGAAACGTGTGAGGGGTGTGCCAGAATGGGGGGTGGAACCGCATGCGGGCGCAGCCACTGGGGCCTTCGGTGGAGCTCCCTATGGGGCCACGAAACGTGTGAGGGGTGTGCCAGAATGGGGGGTGGAACCGCATGCGGGCGCAGCCACTGGGGCCTTCGGTGGAGCTCCCTATGGGGCCACGAAACGTGTGAGGGGTGTGCCAGAATGGGGGGTGGAACCGCATGCGGGCGCAGCCACTGGGGCCTTCGGTGGAGCTCCCTATGGGGCCACGAAACGTGTGAGGGGTGTGCCAGAATGGGGGGTGGAACCGCATGCGGGCGCAGCCACTGGGGCCTTCGGTGGAGCTCCCTATGGGGCCACGAAACGTGTGAGGGGTGTGCCAGAATGGGGGGTGGAACCGCATGCGGGCGCAGCCACTGGGGCCTTCGGTGGAGTTCCCTATGGGGCCACGAAACGTGTGAGGGGTGTGCCAGAATGGGTGTGGGAGGGGGAGGAGGGGGGAGGAAGGGGAGGAGGAGGAAGGAGGAGGAAGGAGGAGGAGGAACGCGGGGCGACGTCTCTTCAAAACGAAGACCCAACACCACAGGATGGTTGGGAAATACTAAAGGCTTGAAGGTCGGCGTCGTCGTTCGTCTTTCGTCGTCGCCGCCGTTCAAAAATCACCACCAGTCCTAGAGTGCGTCCTGGAAATGAGAACCCCGTGGAGATGCACACAGGGCGGAAGAAGTCCAAACACATGTTTCGTGTCATCATTTTCCACGGAGCCCTGATACCACGCCGCAGGTTGTTGCTGGAACTGGTTGGGCCTTTGACATCGGCTCATGGCAGTCCAAACCCTGCTGAAGCAGACTACCGGACAACACGTCCAGCAAACCTTGACCTTCGATCGCTCGATCGTCGTCGCCGTCGTCGAGGGGGCCTTCGGGGCGTGCCTGGGCAGCAGCGGCTCCCGCAGCGGCGCGGCCATGCCGCCGCCGCCCAGGTCCGAAGACCCACCGCGGCCGCCTGGAGGCGTCGTTCGCCGCCGTCGTCGTCGACGAAGATCGTTCGAGGTTCGGGGTTTCGTCGTCGTCGTTCGTCGTCGTCGTCGTCGCCGTCTTCGCCATCGTCATCGTCTTTGCTGGGCGCGTGGTCGTCGTCGCCGTCGCCAGAGGCCAGATCTCATCCGTAGAACAGCAGCTAGAACCACGCGCGCACTACGCGTGCGTTTAAGTTATCCCCCATTCGTCCCCCGAGTTATCCTCCACTCCGTCTCCTCTCACACCGCCCATAAAACACGCCTCCCCTCCCCTTTACTGCCCATCACCCCTCTCAGTTCCTGAGCTTCGTTCCCCCTTCCTTTTGCTACTCCGCCTCCTCCTTACCTGGAAGGTCCACGTGAGCTGGATCCCGCAACGAAGCTGTTTTCTACCAACCAGCGTGTACTTGAATTTTCCCTCCACACAAACACCAAAAAAATGTTTCCATCGGGCGCGGTGGGAGGGGCAAAACAGAACAGGGACTGCAGATGGTATAGCAACACCCCTCTCGCTCTGCCAGGGCCGCCTTGGATGGGTGGGAGGGGCAAAGCAGCTTGTGAAATGATCGGGTATAACGATGCTCCGCTCGCTCTGGCGGGGCCTGGCTGGCGCTCTGGCGGGGCCGTCCCAGGATAGGAGGGAGGAGGAGGAGGGAATGGAGGCAGGTAGGAGGGGCGGGGGGGGAAGGAGGGACGGAAGGGGGGAGGCCCGAGCCACCTGGGACGTCTCAGAGCGCCATGGGGCCTCCCGCTCCCGCTCTGGGGCCCAGCTTCGGGCCCGTCCTGGGGCTCTCTTTGGGCCGTCTGGGGCTTCTCCTGGGCAGTGGTCGGGCTCTCCCCCGGGCCGTCTTGGGGCTCTCTTTGGGTGCCTCTTCGGCAGTCTTGGGGCGGTCTTGGGGGCGTCTGCGGCCGTCTTCGAGCCTTGGAAGCTCGAGAACGCGAGAAAGCGAAAAACATCGCACAAACCAGTGCAAATCAATGGTTTGGGCCTCTCTGGGCTCTTTCGGGACGTCTCTCGGAGTTCTCTTGGGCCCTCTTGGAGGCCTCTTGGGCTGTGTTTGCCGGCTTGAGCTCCTCTTGGGCCACGTTAAATCATCTGGGCCGTCCTGGAGGGCCTTGGGGCCTCCCGCTCCCGCTCTGGGGCCCATCTTGTGCCCCTCCTGGGATTATCTTGGGCAGTCTTGGGCTGCTCTTGGGCAGTTTTCAGGCCTGGGGACGTCTTGGGGCTCTTTTTGGGGCCTCCTCGGCGGTCTTGGGGCGGTCTTGGGGGCGTCTGCGGCCGTCTTCAAGCGTTGGAAGCTCGAGAACGCGAGAAAGCGAAAAACATTGAACATGATCGACCCACGAACCCGGAAAGGGATATAGAAATGTAAGGCAGGGCAACGTTTCAAAGACACATGCTTGGGCGACGGGCAAACGCAATGCAGAGTGTATCGATCTTGATGTACTGTGCCAAGGGGTGTGCTGTGCTGCGCCGTGCTCAATTGCGATGTGCCATGCCGCGATTGTGCTCTACAGCGTTGTGGATCGAGTCCTCCTTTGCATCCGAGTCTTGACCGAACTGATCTGGATCTTAAGCTCGAGCTGCCTCAGCACAGAGTAGCTGCCCCAGAGCTAATTGACAGGGGGACATGCCAGGAGGACGCGACGCGGAACGTCCAAAGGGACGCGCCAGGCGACGTGCCAGGGGACGTGCCACGGGACGCACCGCGGGACGTGCCAAGGGAACGCGCTACGGAACGTGCCAATGGACGTGCCACGGGACGTGCAAGGGGACGCGCCGCGTGACGTGCCAAAGGGACTCGGCACGGGACGCGCCACGGAACGTGCCAGGGAACGTGCCAAGTTGCAATGCTGAGTGCATCGATCTTGATGTACCGTGCCAAGGGCTGTGCTGTGCTGCGCCGTGCTCAATTGCGATGTGCTATGCCGCGGTTGTGCTCTACAGCGTTGTGGATCGAGTCCTCCTTTGCATCCGAGTCCTGACCGAACTGGTCTGGATTTTAAGCTCGAGCTGCCGCAGCACAGAGTAGCTGCCCCAGAGCTACTTGACAGGGGAACATGCCAGGAGGACGCGCCGCGGAATGTCCCAAGGGACGCGCCAAACGACGTGCCAGGGGACGTGCCACGGGGACGCACCGCGTGACGGTGCCAAGGGGACGCACTACGGAACGTGCCAATGGATGTGTCACAGGACGTGCCTAGGGACGCGCCGCGCGACGTGCCAAAGGGACTCGCCACGGGACGCGCCACGGAACGTACCAGGGAACGTGCCAGGTTGCGATGCTGAGTTTATCGATCTTGATGTACCGTGCCAAGGGCTGTGCTTTGCTGCGCCGTGCTGAATTGCAATGCACTCTGCCGCGATTGTGCTCTACAGCGTTGTGGATCGAGTCCTCCTTTGCATCCGAGTCTTGACCGAACTGATCTGGATCTTAAGCTCGAGCTGCCTCAGCACAGAGTAGCTGCCCCAGAGCTAATTGACAGGGGGACATGCTAGGAGGACGCGTCGCGGAACGTCCCAAGGGACGCGCCAAGCGACATGTCAGGGGACGTGCCATGGGGACGCACCGCGGGACGTGTCAAGGGGACGCGCTACGGAACGTGCAAATGGACGTGCCACGGGACGTGCCAGGGGACCCATGCGTTTTCGGGCTTGCCCCGCCCTGGGGAGTTAGGAACCCATTTTCACGTATCTCCCGCCCTGGGGCGTTCGGAACCCATGTGTTCTTATGTTTGTCCCGCCCTGGGCCGTTAGGAACCATGTGTGTTCGCGTTTGTTCCGCCCTGGGGCGGTAGGAACCCATGTATTTTCACAATTGTCCCGCCCTGGGGCGTTAGGAACCGATGTGGTTTCATGCCTCTCGAGCCTCCTGGGGCCTCCTGGGGCCTCCTGGGGCCTCCTGGGGACAAGGGGGCGAAAAGCGCCCCCCGAAAAATAAATCCCATTACAGGACAATGCCTCCTGGAGCCTCGTGAAGCATCCTGGAGCCTCCTGGGGCTTCCTGCGGCGTTCGGAACCATGTGTTGTTGCGCTTCTCCCGCCCTGGGGCGTTAGGAACCCATGTGTTTTACGTTTGTCCCGCCCTGGGGCGTTAGAAGCCCATGTGTTTTTGCGTTTCTCACGCCATGGAGGTCTTGAGAACCATGTGTTTTCACGTTTGTCCCGCCCTGTTTTCGCGCTTCTCCCGCCCTGGGGCGTTAGGAACCACATGTTTTCACACTTCTCGAGCCTCCTGGGGCCTCTTGGGGGGGCGGGGAGGAGCGGAAGAAACGCTCCCAAAATACATATCCCAATACACAACATACGTAAAACAAGCAGTTCACATGAGACATCCTCTGAATTCTGGTCCGCGACAGAGAAACAATGCATAACACAATACGTTTCGCTCGAGACATTCTCAACAAATTATGTAGTGAGGAAAAAAAATCGTTCGGGACATCCTCAAAAGTAAAACCAAATATAACACAAAACGAGCGTCTCGCTCGAGACATCCTCAACCGATTCTGAAAAACAAGCGTTTCGCTCGGGACATCCTCAAAAATAACTCCGCTGGTCCTCTTCCCGCCTCGTTATTTATGGCAAATGATTCCGCCGGCCCTCTTCCCGTCGGGTCCGGGGGGAACAGCTAAAAGAGAACCCTGGGCCCGCGCACTGTCAAAGGAACATGATCGACCCACGAACCCGGACAGGAATATAGAACTGTAACACATGGCAGCGTGTTCAAAGACACCTGGTTGGGTGACGGGCAAACGCAATGCTGAGTGTATCGATCTTGATGTACCCTGCCGAGGGCTGTGCTGTGCTGCACCGTGCTGAATTTCGATGTGCCATGGCGCGGTTGCGCTCTATAGCGTCGTGGATCGAGTCCTCCTTTGCATCCGAGTCCTGACCGAACTGATCTGGATCTTAAGCTCGAGCTGCCTGAACACATAGTAGCTGCCCCAGAGCTACTGGACAGGGGAACATGCCAGGAGAACGCGCCGCGAAACGACCCAAGGGATGCGCCAGGCGACGTGCCAGGGGACGTGCCATGGGGTCGCACCGCGGGACGGTGCCAAGGGGACGCGCTACGGAACGTGCCAATGGACGTGTCACAGGACGTGCCAAGGGACGCGCCGCGCGACGTGCCAAAGGGACTCGCCACGGGACGCGCCACGGAACGTGCCAGGGAACGTGCAAGGTTGCAATGCTGAGTGTATCGATCTTGATGTACCGTGCCGAAATCTGTGCTGTGCTGCGCCGTGCTGAACTGCGATGTGCCATGCCGCGATTGTGCTCTATAGCCTCGTGGATCGAGTCCTCCTTTGCATCCGAGTCCTGACTGAACTAATCTGGATCTTAAGCTCGAGCTGCCTGAGCACATAGTAGCTGCCCCAGAGATAATTGACAGAAGGACATGCCAGGAGGACGCGACGCGGAACGTCTCAAGGGAAGCGCCAAGCGACGTGCCAAATGACGTGCAATGGAGACGCACCGCGGGACGTGCCAAGGGGACGCGCTACGGAACGTGCTGGGGACAAGCGTTTCGCTCGAGACATCCTGTCAAAGTCATCCGAACAACAAGCGAATTAGTCGAGACATCCTCGAAATTCCTGCGCGCGGGACGCGGCACGCGCGAGACATCCTCGGAATTCCTGCGCGAGGGGCGTTTTTCCTTGTCGCGGTCGGCTCTGCAAAACCAGCGTTTCGCTCGAGACATCCTCAACAAATTCTGAAACCAAGCGTTTCGCTCGAGACATCCCCACCCCTGCAAACCCAGCGTTTCGCTAGAGACATCCTCACCAAATTCTGAAACGGTTCCAGCGCGGGACCACCATGTTAGATACCCCCCTGGGTGGCCTGAACACGTGAAAACACGTGGTTCCAGCTCGGGGCCACCATGTTAGATACCCCCACTGTGTGGCGTGGACACGTGGACACACGTGGTTCCAGCTCGGGACCACGT